TAGAAGTCTGATGAGGAAATGTGGTGATTTCCGAAATAGCTATCACTTCTACCATTTTTTCAAATTATTGTTGCTTTTCCACAATAAATTTTCATTTAAAAAATGGCCTCGAGCTCATTATAAAATTGTTGAATATTGTTGGATCACCCTTTAAGCTCTTGATGATTACTCAAATAACTTTGAGTTAATTCATCCACTCTAAACAACTAAACACCCACTCATCGTAAACATGCATACACACACACGCACACATAGTTAATCTCATTTATTATTGCACTCATAATTCTCTTTCTTCTTAATATTTCACTTGTACATAATTGGCATGTATTCCAATAAATTATTAGACATCTATCGCTCACTCCAAGCAGCTCGTTGTTTTAATCTTCTCGGTAGGAATATATACGATTTAACAATTTCGCGTACTTTGGTCTGGCAAAGATTGAGTTTTGGTTTGGAGAATATACACCCCCACATCCGACTTTCCCACAAGCAAGAAAAAGGCTTCTTGCATCGTTCATTTTTTGGCGCCCAACGTGGGGCCCGTGTCTATTCTACGACAAATAAGAATCATAATTCGCCATCATTCAACGGCTGCATCAGTAACAGCAATCAATCCGTTCGTTGGAGCAATAACAACAATCAAATTTTTCGTGTTCTAACCAAAACCCACTTCGTTCGGTGCTAGTGCATTTGACCACATATTGGCAACTTCATTCCCGCCTGGATCCCTTCGATAAATTTGCAAGTCATACCATTGCTGTTCTGAACAAAAAATTCACCGGTTGGAAACGCATTTATGTATGTATGTACCCTTACCCAAATACAGTTTTTGACTTTGCTGCTTTGTCATATATTCCGTACGGCTGAAAGTACATAAGGCCTACATTTAATTATTATTGTTGCGCATTTTTTACTGCTGTGAGCCGTTGATACTGCCGCTAACTCGCATTCGTCGCTCTCACTAGTAGACCATTCGCTGCTAACACTACTCGCCGTCGTATACTTCGTTGCTGCTCTGCCAGCGCTACATTCGCTGCTCTCGCTCAAGCTGCGCTGTTTTGCACTTTTTGTACTTCGCTTTGCTGGCATTTGCGTCAACAGTTGACCAACAGTCAGTAACCCAGTAGGAATTGTTTCGTCACATCACATTGTACATCAACCATGTCTCTTGAGGAATGCAAGCGTAAGCGCTCGAACATAAAGCGCAACATTTCTCGCATCAAATCAATCGTCGAAGCTGTAAGGGAGTCAGAAGACAAACTTTCTAATGCTGAATTGCAGTGTCGATTAGGAATCTTAGAGTCTTACTTTAAGCAAGCCTTGTCCGTACAAGTTGACATCGAAGACTTAGACCCCACAGACAACGGCCGTGCAGACCTAGAAGACAGCTACGTTGCAGTCAAGTTGAGCATCCAAGTGCAACTTGGAGAAGATGTTAACACTACGGTACACTACCCGGAAACGCCTGCAGCTGCATCTGTTACACCCTCGTCGCACCTACCAAGGTTGTCTCTACCAACTTTCAGTGGAGATTATGCAGATTACAAGAATTTCATCACGACGTTTACCCAGATCATCGCCCGTGAACCCAGGCTGTCGAACATTGAAAAATTCAACTACCTTTTATCATGCTTAAAGGGTGCTGCACTAGAAACCGTTAAAGCATTTCAGGTTACTAATGAAAATTATTCGAAGGCTTTGGATAGGCTTAAGGAACGGTTCGACAACCCGACCTTAATTTTTTTGGAAGGCATCGCCTCACTCTTCACGGCACCTGAGAAGTCAAACGCTCAACAACTGCGCAGCCTAGTAGACAAGGCATCGGCTATTTATAGTTCTTTGGAGTCATTGGGCTTAAGTACGAGCATCGCACAAGCAATGTTAATCTACATTGTAATGGGCAAATGTGATCAGCAAACCAAAAACAAATGGAACGAGTCACTTGATTATAATTCGCTTCCGACTTGGCCGCAATGCACTAAAGTCTTGGAAAGGCATTGCCAGTTTTTGCACTCATCTGAGTCGTCGTCGCAACGCAAACCCGAAGCTGGCAAGCAAACTCGCTTAAATATTCGTAACCAAAGTTCCTCATTTGCTATCACTAATCCCACGTGTGTTCTTTGTTCCAGCTCCAACCATAAAGTTGTCGGTTGCTCGCAATTCAAGGATATGAATACAAATCAACGCTTTGACCTCATCAAGAGGTATGACCTGTGTATAAATTGCTTAGGCAACGGGCATAAAATGGCTCAATGCCCTTCGAAGAACCGCTGTCGCACTTGCAATCGAGCACACCATACGCTGCTGCATCATGAGAATGCATCTCAGACTGTTCAGATAACACAATCAACTGTATCTGCATCCCAGCCATCTGGATCTAATCGATCGACCTGGCAAACGTCTTCACAGCAATCAGCAGCAACCCACTCGCACATGGGAGCATCAGAAGAGGGTCAAGTTATTCTGGCAACGGCTTTGGTGCTAGTGAAGGATGTTACAGGTGCATACAAGTTGGGAAGAGCCCTACTAGATTCATGCTCGCAACTCAACTTCATCACCGATGACTTCGCGCAAAAACTTCGTCTTCGTCGTGAGAAACACAATGTGGGAGTCCGCAGTATTGGTGAATCGTTAACCAATCTAAAGTCACGTACGACTACGACTATCAAATCGCGCACTTCAGCATTTCAACTGTCGCTACAGTTTGGAATCACTTCGCACATAGCATACCAGCCAGAAACCGAGATCGACACGTCCGATTGGAACTTGCCAGCTAATACAAAACTTGCAGACGAAAAGTTTTTCAAGCCCCGGTGCATCGACTTGTTGTTAGGCACAGAAGCATTTTTTGACGCCCTTGCTGTTGGTCAAATTCGACTGGGTTCTAACCTACCTATACTCCAGAAGACGTCGTTCGGTTGGGTTGTCTCTGGTAGGCTTCGTAATGAGCGTAATGTGACGGCATCATCTTGCCTGTTGTCAAATGAAAGCTCCATCGACGAGAACCTGCAACGCCTATGGAAACTAGAAGCCATCAGTACGCCAACCAAATCGATTCAGCCGGAACATCGCATTTGCGAAGAGATTTTCATGAAAACTGTTCGTCAAGATAACACTGGATGCATAATAGTAAGTATGCCTTTTAAAGATGACCCCATTTGTCTCGGAGACTCCTTCGATGTTGCTCGCCGGCGATTCCTCGCGCTTGAGAGACGCCTTCTAAGTTCGCCCGAAATTCGTCCGCAGTACATTGCCTTTATGGAAGAGTACGAAGGTCTTGGCCACATGTCAGAAGTAGCACAACCCAACTTAAAGGAGCCACACTACTACATACCACATCATTGCGTGCTAAAACCTAGCAGTACCTCAACGAAACTTCGAGTTGTGTTTGACGCCTCGTGTCGCACCTCATCGCAAACCTCATTAAACGACCTATTACTGGTGGGCCCAACAATCCAACAAGATTTATACATGCTACTACTGCGTTTTCGTTTGTATCGTTACGCCATCACCGCAGACGTGGCTAAAATGTACAGGCAAGTACTTGTAGATAATAACTTTCGACAATTCCAATACGTACTTTGGCGAGCTTCCCCAGATTCAGATATCCGCACGTACCAGCTGAACACGGTTACATATGGCACAGCCTCGGCTCCATTTCTCGCAGTACGCAGCCTCCACTATCTGGCGGACGAACACATGGCAGAGCTTCCGATCGGCGCTTCAGCAATAAAATCATCTTTCTATGTCGACGATATGTTATGCGGTGCCGAAGATGTGAATGAGCTATATACCCTCAAGCATCAAGTTGTCGAAGTACTCCGTCGCGGGCAATTTCCACTATCGAAATGGCACTCAAATCACCCCGACTTTATGGAAGGGCAAGCCACAAAGGAGCTCAGTATCACTGACGATTACGTAACCAGCGCATTAGGAATAACATGGCACCAACGAAGTGACGTCCTATCCTTCGCGTTCAATCATAAACAAGAACCTACTTCAGTCACAAAGCGCTTGGCATGTTATCACCACTGGTTATCACAGCCAAGATAATACTGCAAGAGCTTTGGCTTTGGTCCCAACATCTGCAGCAAGCTTGGACAAACTGCCTGATATCTTTAAATGCGATCTCATCACTCACGGTACCTCGTTATTGCTTACAGCCCAACGCTCGCAACATTCAACTACATGGGTTTTGCGACGCATCGATTCGGGCTTATGGCTGCTCGGTATATGTACGCACTGAAGACTTACGCGGTCACGTTGTAGTTCAGTTGTTGACGTCGAAGTCGGGAGTCGCCCCAGTAAAAAAGCAGTCGCTCCCTAAACTCGAACTTTGTGGTGCGCATCTTCTGGCTTGTCTTTACGCCGAAGTAAAGGAAATCTTTGCTAACAAACCCATTAACAGTTACTTTTGGACTAATTCCCAATTGGTGCTGTATTGGCTGAAACAGCATTCAATTACGCTGTCAACTTTTGTGGGAAATAGAGTATCCGACATACAGGAGTTGACTGGTGGTGGACAATGGAGACACGTTCCAACGCGCGATAATCCTGCAGACCTTGTATCTCGAGGTTGCTCTACTGCGGATCTCAAATCATCAAGTTGGTTTTCCGGTCCAGCCTTCCTACTTCAGGATCAGTCCAAATGGCCAAACAACAAGGCTCTAGCTGATCTGGATGCGAATATTATCAATGCAGAAAAACGCAAAACGGCTTTCACAGTAATTAAGGAAATAAATCATATTCTTGACGTCATGAATGGCATTAGTTCTTATCCTCATTGCTTACGTTTCGTCGCCTGGCTATTTCGGTTCTCCGACTCGTGCAGGAAGCAGTCAACATTCACTACAGCTTCACCATCGCCTGAAGAATTGCGACGCGCATCGCATTGCATAGTATGGAACGTACAACAGCAGCACTTTTCTGTCGACTTTCAGCTACTAAAGAAAAAGCAAACTTTAAAAAGTACTTTTTTATAGACGATTCGACCGGCTTTGAGCTCATCAAGGTTGGTGGTCGCCTTGACTACTCCGACCTACCAGACAGTCAAAAGCATCCGATTCTTCTACCCAGCAATTCACAATTTGTTTCATCGTATGTACGTCATCTTCATCTTCGGAATTATCATGCAGGCCCCAAAGCTTTAGTCGCTTTAATCCGTCTTGAATATTGGATAATCAACGCCAGAGACGTGGCTCGTCGCGTCGTTCGGTCGTGTGTGCATTGCGTCGGATACAAGCCTACACTGCAGCAGCAAGTCATGGGACCGCTACCAAAAGAGCGTGTCCAACCAGCACGACCATTTCAACGCTGTGGAGTGGATTTTTGCGGACCAATAAATACTTACATACGAATCCGAGGAAAGTTGCCTACCAAATCATACTTGGCTGTTTTCGTTTGTCTTGTCACGAAAGCGGTCCACATCGAGGTGGTCTCGGATCTGTCTACGAAGGCGTTCCTGAACGCTCTCAAACGGATGGGTGGTCGGCGAAAAATGCCACGTGACGTTCTCTGTGACAATGCCACGAATTTTATAGGTGCATCCAACCATCTACAAGACCTCAAGCAATTTCTCTTTAACGATGAGATCCAAAATGAAATCAAAAAATTTTGTTCCTCCGAATTCATTAATTTCCATTTTATTCCCCCCAGGGCACCCCACTTCGGCGGCCTCTGGGAGGCAGCGGTTAAAAGCGCAAAGAGACTGCTATATCGCACATTGGCTCATACAAGGTTAACCTTTGAAGAACTAAGCACCGTCGCCGTGGAGATAGAAGCCATACTAAACTCGCGCCCACTCTCCCAGCTGTCATCAGATCCTAACGACTTCGAAGTACTCACTGCTGGGCATTTTTTGGTCGGTTCACTGGAAGATCGCAACATATCGAACTTGGATCGGTATGATATGATCACGGCTATTAAGCAACGCTTTTGGCCGCGCTGGTCTGCGGACTACGTCAACGAATTGCGCGCACGGGTCAAATGGACGACTCCTGCACCCAACCTGACAGAAGACACATTAGTCATCATCCACGACGATAACCTGCCACCACAACGTTGGAAGCTTGGTCAAGTTGAGTCCACCGCACTTGGACGAGATGGTCACGTTCGAGTTGTGCACCTCCGTACTGCCA